TCGCAGAGGATCACTCTATGCCCTCGTGACGAAATTGTTACGGGCTACTCAACGCTCTCTACTTCTTGGAAGAAAAATTTCTTCTATGTTCGTATTGACAGTGCATCAGTCGAGGAGGATTGCATTCCGCTTTTTACGACCGTGTGGGGTCGGAAAGGTATGTGAATCGAGTTCATACGAATCTTCTTCCTCTTGTTTTTTTTTTATTCGTTTCTGTTTTTCCGCAGTGACCAACCCTTTGCCTCCGTATCCTGTGGATCTCCCGAACATCACCACTTCTCTCAAACGTGGTGAAGTTGGCTGGTGCAGTTTTTCTCCGCAACGCGTCCGCCAAGCGCTTGCCCTCTTCCGATCTCGACTCTTTGCGGATTCTCCGATTTATGAAGAGGATCCGTTTATTGGGGAGTTTATTCCGTATGTTCCCTCGATGAGGAGTGGTAAGTCAAGCTTTCGAAAGGATAAAAATCCGGTTGTCGAAGATGACAATTCTGAACGTGCGGCCTCTCCTGAAAATATTCTCAAGGACTTCCTTGACAGTCAAACGGAAGAAGGTGTCTGGACGAAAGCGGGCGGATTGTCGACCTCCCATTTTCCGGACAATGACCATGATCAAGTCCCGAAGTTTACTAGGGGGTCTGAGAAGGCTAAGGAGGTACGTGTGTTTATTATTTTCTTTTTCGAGCGATTTTATCATTGGATGATGTCGCTTAATTCTTTTCTTTGGTAGGGTTTCCTTGTCATGAGACGGGCCCTAGATAGTCGTACTGCTGAAGCTCGCCTTGCCGAGTTTCGAGCGAACATGGCTGAAAAAGAAGTTGCTCGTCTTCGGGCGGAGGTCGAGGCCAACCGAGCCGAAGAAGTAGTTGCGAGGGAGGTTTCTCGCGTGAGGGATGAGTGTGCGGCTAGATCTCGCCACGCCAAGGAGCTTTCTGACCAAAGGATTTTCCGTGCTCGTCGTGCGGGCACTACACGAAATAAGGGTTTTAATAGCACCCGAAAATCACTATCGTACGATACCATAGCGTTGTAGAAAGCGCTCCAACATCGCCCGCGATAATAAGTCGGGTCCATTAGATAGCGGTTTTTGTAACCGCTATTGATATTAATTTAGTAATAGCGCTTTTTATTATGCAATTGTAATTCTTTTTAATAGCGTGTTGAAAATATAATTATAATATTTTTACTATAGCGGTTTTAAAATTTTACTATAGTATGTTTTAACTACTATTGTAGTGTTCTATCAATAGCAATATTTGAATTTTTCATTGCATTTTAAAAATGTAATTGTTTCATTTCGTTTATGACAAATTTAATTTAATATTTTATTTTGAAAACAATACAGAAAATTATAAAATAAAATTTCATTCAAGTTAATATTATAATAAAATCAAAATATTCAAAAAAATATATATATAATCAATTCTCAATCAAATTAATCCGCAACAATAAACCGGTTTACATACAAACCAACTTTAAAAACGAAATCTAAAAAAAAAACCAAAAAGTATCCCTAACTCCTTCGCACCGCCTCCTCCGCACCGCCTCCCCCGCTCTGCCTCATCCGCCACCACAACTCCATCTATGAAACTGCCCCGTCGTTTTTATTCTTCTGCTTCCACCTCCTGCTATTCTTCATCTTCTGCTTCTCTCTGCAACCCAGTTTTCAAAACATAATTCAAACATAAAACATAATGAAGAGAGGCAGAGAGAGAGAGATTTCCGCCTCCTCTCATGACCACCACATCTGCTCACAGAAGCCTCCACTGCTTCTCGTTCCCTGCCCATTAATAAAGCTGTAAAAAAATAAAAAGCAATCACAAATTTATAAGAAGTAGACAAGAGAACAAGAGAGAAGTTAAGAGGAAGGTGAAGTGAGTTGACATGTGGTGGTGGTGGTGGTGAGGAGGTGAAGCCAACGCAGATCTTAACCAGAGACATACCAGTTGCTACGACCACCAGCTCTGCCAAAAAAAAAAAAACAGATTCAAAACAGAGAGAGAGAGAGAGAGAGAGAGAGAGAGAGAGAGAGAGAGAGAGAGAGAGAGATAGGTGACTGTGGTGGTGAAGACTGACAGAATCGAGCCTCTTCCCATGTCTAGATTCAAACACAGATAGTGAGGGAGAGATAAAGGTTAGACTCGGAATCCATAATCAAGGCCAGAAAATGGAATCAAATAAGTGTTTATTGAGATGTGTTGTATGTGGGGAGAGATTAGGAGACTGAGACAGAGAAACATGAATGTGTGAGATGAATCATTTCTGTGAGTGAGGTTAGGAGAATAAGAGAGAGAGAGGAGAGAATGCGATGTGCGTAGGAAGAAAGAGATCTGAGACAAGAGGAGAAAAGAAAGAAAATAAAAAAAGGAGAAAACATTTCAACCATTGATTTAATTGCATTCGACGGCTTAAAGAGTTATCCGAGTGATGATAGTTGATTATTCCATAGTTTTCTTTTTTTTTAACTGTTAGCCAATAGAAACTAAGTGTGAGGATAGATAACAAGATTGATTGTAGGCCTTTGATTTTGAATAAATCAATGGCTGAAACGAAAAAATAGTATAAAATTGTCTTTTTGTAATTATAATTTCTATAAAATTATTGAGAGTTTGAAAATTATATTATGAATATGGGGAATTTATGTATATATGATATTAGATGTTTGAGAATAGTAAATTAAGTAAAAGTAATGATGTAAGATTAATAAAATTCAAGTGAGTTTAGGGTTTGGAAAATAGTGTTTTGGGTTTAGATTTAGAGTTATGTATATGGTTTTGAGTTTTAGAATAGATTTAGAGTTTAAGTTTAAAGTTTATATTATAATTTTGAAAAGATTTAGATTTATGACTTATGTAGAGTTTTAGTTTGGGGTTTAGGATATTAGATTTAGGAATGTAGATTTAAAATTTCGTGTTTAAGGTTTAAATTTAAGATTAAATTTTTTAAATTATTAAATTTTGAGTTTAAGCTTAAGGTTGAAGGTAAAAAAAAATATGTTTAGGGGTTTAAACCCTATATTACATTATATATAAGATTTGGGTTTAGATTTAGAGTTATGTATATGGTTTGGAGTTTTAGAACAGATTTGGAGTTTAAGTTTAAAGTTTATATTATAAGTTTGAAAAGATTTATATTTATGACTTATGTAGAGTTTAAGTTTGGGGTTTAGGGTATTATTTTGAAGTTAAATAAAAAAAGATTAGTGTTTAAAAAAAATAGTTAAAGTTTAGGATGTATGATTAATTTGTGGTATGATGCATATAGGTTTATATTATAGGGTTTGAGATTTTGATTAAATATTTCAAATTATGTATTAAAAAATATATTAGAATTTGAATTTAAACTTAAGATTTGAAATTAAATAATAAAAAGTAATACTATTTCAACATGATATAGGGTTTGAGGTATGTAGTTAGGGTTTAGGGCATGTTTAGGGTTTAGAAGTCGAAGTAAAAATAATACTTTTTTTTTCTCTAATTTCTTATTAGTGTTAGATTTTGTTTTTATAATTGCAATTTGATCCGTAAATTAAAGTTTATACTTACATTAAATTGATAAAACATACATTATTTCATATATCATCCAAAATACATATACACCAAAGCATTTCCTAAGATTGCTACAGTCTAGGGACTTTATCGGTTAAGAAATCAAGCTCTTTAAATAGTTTACGAGCTTCTTGTATGTCCATTTCCCTCATATTTGATACCTACATCGAACTTGCAACAAGAAACTATGTTAGCAAGTATAAAGAGAAGATAAAGCAAAAAATTGAACAAGAAGAATCTGTAACGCCCCGACCGTCCACAGCTAATGGGCCACCCACGCCCGCTCTCTCGGTCCGTGGGCCCCATCCCGTTCCAACGGCCGGTCCGTTAATTTTCCCAAGGCTTTGGAGTCATGTTTACTGACCCTGCAATCACCACCCGACCTTTCCCCGTGCTTTGGCCTCACTTACACGGTATCGCGAATCACTTCCCGATAGGTCACCCATCCTTTGACTACTCCAGCTCAAGCACGCTTAACTCTGGAGTTCTCTCTGGATGTGCTCCAGAAAAGGTAAGTGCACTTTAGTGACATAGGTAGTCAAATCAATTCTCTTAAGCCTTTCCATATACCACAAACAGGGATGTTACAATTCACCCCCTCTCAAAGAACGCAACGTCCCTGTTGCGCCTCCGACAGGTCTCAAGACGCCTCTCAGGTCAGAACTGAGATGGCTAACCAGCTCTGATACCACTTGTAACGCCCCGACCGTCCACAGCTAATGGGCCAGCCACGCCCGCTCTCTCGGTCCGTGGGCCCCATCCCGTTCCAACGGCCGGTCCGTTAATTTTCCAAGGCTCTGGAGTCATGTTTACTGACCCTGCAATCACCACCCGACCTTTCCCCGTGCTTTGGCCTCACTTACACGGTATCGCGAATCACTTCCCGATAGTTCACCCATCCTTTGACTACTCCAGCTCAAGCACGCTTAACTCTGGAGTTCTCTCTGGATGTGCTCCCGAAAAGGTAAGTGCACTTTAGTGACATAGGTAGTCAAATCAATTCTCTTAAGCCTTTCCATATACCACAAACCGGGATGTTACAGAATCATTGATGAACTCACTTGTAACTTGTAAGATCTTGTTAGAGCAGGCTACATACACGGCATATGTTTGACAGAATCATGGTCTTGTTCAACGCACAAAAACAATGTACTGTAAGGTTTAAAGTTCCTAATCAGAAGCTAAAGTCTATCAACATCTAAAGGTCAAACCTTTCCCAGATTTCTTCAAGCTGAAACACACACATAATCATCATCATAAAACCATGGTTCTTTTTCAATACAGCCTTACGGTCCAGCCCTTCCATCTATATACATTTACACCATTGTTATGTTACACACAAAAACATAAGCTTTTTCTTTGAGATTTCAGAATAAAACTACTTACCAACTGAAACTCATCCATTTGAAATGAGATTGTTATGCAGAGAAAGATTTTGCAGACTTTTGCAGTGTTTCAGCAGTCCATCTGGAATCTGAAAAAATGTATATGTGAAGAAGATTCACAATGGTAAGCGGCATCACAGCTCTTGCAGAACACAAACTTGTTAGGATCCCCTGTTATAGACTTCAAAACTCTGCAATTTACAGCAATTATAGACTTCAAAAGCCTTACCAAGCCAGAGAAGGTAGGACACAACAACAAAACAAATGAAAGTACCTCTATGTTGAGCCCAAGACTTTACACAATTCTTATGGTACTTCTTGCCACAGCTTTTACAAGAAAGCATCGTCTTTGCTCTCTCACTTCCTTGGCTTTCTCCCAAGAAGCACATTCTGCACATTACATACACAAACAAAACCAATTTTTTATATCATCAACAACGAACACTAGTCAACGCAATTGGTAAAAAAAACTAACCTCATTGTCATTAGATTCAAACCTCCGAGTGTAATCCTCAGAAGCCTCAACCATAAAGGTGGCTTGTCTCAGAAGAGAAACACGTTTCTTCTTCGCCGAAGCCTCCTCCGCCTTATCCATGCTGCCATCTCCAACCGCAGAAACTGTACGAGGAGCAGCAGCAACCTTGCAAACCCTAATCTGAACCCTAATTCAGTTGCTCACGACCCACCTTCCTGTAAAATCAAAACAAAATCATAGAGAGAGATGGCGGATAAGAGAGATGACTATGGTGGTGACTAGCTGGTGGTGGTAAAGAGCGACAGTGTCAAAAGGAGTGTGGTGGTGAAGCTTCAATCGACAGTGGCAAGAGATCAAATCTGAGAATTTGAGGAAGCCAAGCAGATTGAATCTGAGACTGCTCTAGTTTCTTGGAAAATCAAAACAAAATCAGAGAGAGAGAGAGAGAGAGAGAGAGAGAGAGAGAGAGAGAGAGAGAGATGGCAGATGAGAGATATGGCGATAGTGGTGATGGTGGTGACGAGCTAGTGGTGGTGGTATAATGAGCGACTGTGTCAAAAGGAGTATGGTGATGAAGCTTGAGATGACTAGAGATGAATCTGAGAATTTGAGGAAGTCAAGCAGATTGAATCTGAGACTACTCTCAGTTCTTCGTATGGAGAAGAAACAGGAAAGAAAGAAAAAAAATTAAAAATAAAAACTAAACTATTTTGTATATAGAATCTGGTCAAATATTAAGTATTTTGATTAAAATATGAGAAAATTAACATTTACTATAGCGTTTAAATTTAAATCTGAAATGGTAAGGCGTCTACACTTATTAGATTAACGCGGCTAAAAAATTTAATTTCCCGCGATATCAAACATAGCGTTTTAAATGTATAAACGCTATTAAAAAAATTCACTGTTGGCATATAATAGCAGAACTGTTAAAAACACTAGAATCTGATGCTATTAATACTCACATTTCTTGTAGTGGGGCAAATGAGAGGTTGCCGAAGAGATGAAGGCTCGTCGTGAGCGATTTGCAACTGGTTGTTCGGATGCCGAAGTTTTTCAACGGGCGTACGGTGATTATCGCGAATGTCGCGGGATCGTTTGTGGGTTATCCTTAACTCAGAATGAAGGGTATTCGTTTTCTGAGAAACTCCCCGTGCGGCGGGGACACTTGGATCGGGAAAGAGATATGCAGCCCGAACTTTTAAACCTTAGGGCGCGCATGTGGGATCAATGGAATCCCATTGTGGTGTCGCCAGATTCAGTCGAAGTTGGACCTGGGATATCGGATGTGGATGGTGAAGTCGATCAGTCTGCGTTCGATAACTTCAACGTGTGATGTGATTAGTTTTTCGATTTCATCGTTGTTTTTCCGGGACTGGCCGTTGGTGGCTTTGAATCCCTACCGCTGGGCGGTGTGTACTTGAAGGCTTTCTAATAAGAAAATATTTTCTAAGTATGAAATTCGTGTTTTGGTTTAGATGTAGAGGGAAGAATACGAGTTGTCATCTCGTATCTAACTCTTTGGTGTAAATCATCCGATTCGTTCCACTCGGGATGTTTCGATTTTCGCGAGTGTTTAGATGTGGGCGAAGAGACATGCCTTTAGGATCTCGATTCATTCCTTGATACGTTAGCGACCAGTGGGCTGGGTTTAGGGCAAGACCTAGGTTTACTTTCGGATTGAGGCTATGCGATGACTAGTCGGCTTTCGTTTTGCCGGTTGCGATTTTAACCTGACTCCATACCGATTTAGAATCTGCGATAGGTTCTCGGCTTTTACGATTCATATGGTTGGAATCGAGCATCTCACCGGGAACAATTTCTAAGTTGCCCGGAAGTGCTGACCAAAAATTTGGATTTCTTTTGTAGCGGGCTATTTTATCCTAGTCGGATGTATGCAGACCGATAGGTTGATGCGTTTGTTTAGGACGGCTAGCGTGCTCGACGGGGCCAATCGCCGAGCGTTCGTGTTTTTATAGTCGCGGACGGACTCGGGGAAATATTTTTCTTGAGAGTTTAGGCGACGTCTCGCCAGTTCTTTCCGAAAATATTTTGATATGCAAGTTTTATAAAAACGATAAAATAGTTGTTACTGCGGAAGCGATTTTCCAGATGTTTGGAATTTTTTTGCGTTTTCGATAGTAGCGGAGATATTCTAACTTTGTCTTTATTAAAAATTTCAAAAAAAAATTCGATTACAAAGCGAAAATTTTGTTTTTTAAAAAAAATTTGGGAGTATACGAATACTCGTATACTCACCCACTCCCCCCCCCCCCCCCCGTTTTGGAAGGGGGGGTAGCTGAACTCGTCTTTAGGCGAGCTGCCTACGTATTCCTTTCGGATATCAAGCCATCTCGTAGTTCTGATTGTTTGCACGAGTGTGCTTACTCGGCTGTCACTGACTTTTCGATCGCTTCAGTTGCGGGATCGATGTCTTTGTCCGGGATTGTCTCCTCCGGCCGGGTGGAAGCGATGGGTGCGGGAACTTCTTGTTTCTCGACCGTTGCTTGCTTTGGGTCGTTTTCTGCGGGCGGTGGTGTGACCTTTGCCCGTTTTGGTTTCACGATCGCTACCGCCAATTGCCGCAGCTTATGTTCGGCCAGGAAGCAGGATCGCGATTGTCTTTGGCATCCCCAAATTGCTGCGACTCCCGTAAGTGTTGGTAATTTGATGCCTAAGTGGTATGTTGACAGAACCGCCTTCATGGAATTTATCCAAGGCGTTCCCATGATCACGTTATAGATAGCCGGGAAATCGACTACCGCGAAGTTAACGATTTTCGTCACTTCTTTTGCGGCAACCGGTAGTCGGATTGATCCCACGGTCATCGACGTCTCACCGGAGAAACTGGTCAATGGTTTTGGAATCGGCTCGACTTCCGAGAGGTCGATTCCCATGCGTGCTAGCGTGTTGCGGAAGATCACGTTGACAGTACTTCCGGTATCGACCAAGATCCGAGCAACTTCTAAATCGCTTATCACTAAATTGATGACAAGAGGATCGGCGCGAGGTTGGTCGATTCCGCCGGTTTCAGCGTCGTCGAATGAGATCACCCCTTTCAGAGAGTCATCCATCGGCACCTTCCAACTCGAGCCGGTTTCGGCTTTACGTTGGTAGGATTTGATTGACGAGACGGTGTCGTTGTCTTGTCTGCGTCCGCGTTTTTCGCCTGACTGGTTTTCCTGAGGCGGAGTTTCTGCTCGCGCGTTCCTGTCGTTCTTCAGAAGGAGATCTGAATCGCAAATGAGATCCTTGACACTGGATATCTCGGAGAGTTCTCCCTCGACCAATTTTGCGGCAAGTCAGGCGCCGAGAACTTTGCAGTTCACGATGGAATGCCCACGGGTTTGGTGGAGGTCGCAGAAAGAATTCTCATCGTAATTCGAATTTCTCGTCCATGTGTTACCCGTGGTTCGCCCTTGCTCCGATCCGGAGTTGATGGCGTAGTTATGCGCCCCTTGGAGATCCTGTCCCTCGTGATGGACGAATTTGTCGTTACGAGAGTTCCTCTTTTTCTGCTTCTGCTCGGACGCGTTATCCTTCGAGGATGTTTTCGTCGGCTTCTGCTTCTCGGATAGGATTTTAGTCTCCTCTTTGATGGTTATGAAGTCAGTGGCCTTATGGAGTGCATCCTGGATCGTCCGCGGTTTCTCGAGAGTTATCCACTTGCGGAATTTTGATTTATACCAGAACAATTTCCTTAACGCGTCGATGGCGGCTTTGTTGTTAATCCCGCTAACCCTAGCCATGACGAGTTTGAACCTTGTGGGAGTCGATTTCACCCTACTGTCAAATAAATAGTAAATAAGGAAACTTCGGGACAACCCTAAGTTTCCAGAGGAACCGGTTATCTGCGAGAACCGCACAACGAAAATAAGAAAACGATAACTTAGAATTAAAATGAGAATAAACGAAAACAGAGAGCAGAGAGGTTCTTATTCCGAATCTGCGTTGAACTGGTACAAAAAGAGTAGCCGAAAGCGTAAGAACTAGAAAACCCTAATTGAGACGCAGCTCGCTAACAGAAAAACGGAAATATTCCTAAATGCTAGTTTTGGTGGTGGGAGCTCTGAATTTTGTGTGTGTGCTTCTGCCCTAGACCTCCTCTTTATATACTCCTCGCCTTGGCTATCCGATCTTTCCATTTCGCCCAGATTTGACTTAAATCGGGAATTTTCCATTCTTCTCGATCCTTCCTTTTCTTCTGCGGAAATCTAATGTTTCTCTTCAAACCTTCCTTTTATGTTTAAACTTGACTTTTATTTTCTTTCTGCGAGTAAACCGTCAAAATGTTATCAAATCTGCGGGTTAGATTCCGTAAAAATCGCGAGATGGGTTTAATCGCGTTTTAGGTCCTTCCAGGCCGTTTTGCGATAAAACCGTTTTCCTACTTTTTACGGGATCGTTAACTGATCTGACGTCGTTTTAATAAATTTCTCGAGTTAATCGCAAAGTTTTACGAATTACTCGACTTTTTATTAAAAACACGTTTTTTATGACTTACTCGGCGTTTTTTATTAAAAGCGCATTTTTTATGATTTCGACGAGAAATCTCCAATAAATCGTATAGTTTAGGCAATGTTCGGTGTTTCGTTTACCCGTTGCCGTTTTATACGATTGCCTCGAGTTCTTTCCGAGAAAACGAAGTTTTACGGTTTTTATCGTAAAACTCGAACGGTAAGTCGGATCGAGATGGAACGAGAGATATTTCGGCCGTGGTTTAGAACGCGACCTTGTCGAAAGATGTAAGTTTCGAATCGGGAATGCGGGAAATCGAGACGCAGAGTGTTCGGGAAGTTTTTAGTTCGCCCATCGGCGTACTAAGCCGGGCCCGGCTTAGTAAGCCGATGGGCGAACTAAAGAGTGACTCTTAGTTCGCCCATCGGCGATCTAAGCCGGGCCCGGCTTAGATCGCCGATGGGCGAACTAAGCCGGGTCCGGCCTAGTTCGCCGATGGGCGAACTAGTTGCGACTAGTTCGCGTTTTACGGCTTTTTCGGTTTTTTGAGGTTTTGTAAAACGATTCTCGAGTTTTATAAAACGATCTTCGGATTTCATAAAACGACTTTTGAGTTTTATAAAAACGATTTCTCGAGTTTTATAAAACGAGTCTCGAGTTTT